TGGCTGTAATGTGACAAAATGTGGAAAAGTTCAAGGGGGCCGAATACTTTTGCATCCACTGTATGTAGCTTGCTGGAGATCGTGTTGTAGGGTCCTGGCAGCGCTCCTAATAGCCCGTGTCCTGGTATCTCTTCCACACTCTTTGGCCTGTGTTCCCTTGTGACGGCACGTATCTTATCCTAGATGAGGTGAAATATCCGTGTAACTATGATTGGTCTGCAAGTATTGTCTCGTGACACTGACAGTGACGAGGACATAAACAGAAAGCAAAATTAGAGAAAAATCAGCCCGGAGGGATGAGGAGAAATCAATGACCTGCGAAACCGTTTCCTCTTTGGAGGTCGTCATGTTGTTGCTCTCCGGAGCGCCTGTTCTCACTTTGATTTGCACCAAAGCAGCTGAAAAGCATTCAGAGTGGTTTGTGCTTCCGGCTGATGTCCCTGAGGGTTACCTGACTTTGTGGTGGACTGTGATGATCAAGTGATCCCTTAATTTCTTTGAGCTGTCTTTCTCAGATCATCCGCTTGCCTTCCTGTGGTCCCAATTTGTGTTAATTTGAGATTTTATACCTACTGTTGTATCAGCTTTTTAAAATTAAGCTTTACACCAACCAGCGCAATTTCAGTTTCTTATACGAGGATTAAACAAAACAATTAATCAAATTGTATGAATACTGAATCATCTAATAATGTTTAAGGCACAGCAGTCTTTTGTTTTGAAATGTTTTCAACAGGAACTGAAAATAGATAAACTGTCAAATTAAAATGTTCGGGAGCATTAGTGAGAGACGCAGAGACGCATCGTTCGGTGTGAAACAGACTCTATGTGTGAATTCTGTTTCTATTTTAGTTTCATTAATCCCATCAGATTAATATGGTGGAGTGCTGCGTGGGGGGAGGACAGAGGGGGAGGCAGGTTTCATTTCTGAGGTTTGGAGGATTAGAGACACAAAATCCTCTTTTCCTCATGCCTCCACCAAAAAAACAAAAAAACAAACCCGAACACAGTTTAAATTAGTCATTCCACACTGTAAAAAACATCACACCGTGATGAATAAATCACACTTTTCATTCACTGGAGTTTCATCTAATCTGAGTATATTTTCATTACACTGCAGTATTCCTGAGGGTGTGTTTGTTTTACTTACCTTTGAATTTGCCGCTCTCCAGCAGAGCTCCGGACTCCTCCAGAGAGAAAAATTCCTCGATGGAGACAAAGTTGTAGTCCACACCTGAAATCTCTCCATCTCGAGGCTGCCTGGTCGTACCTTCAGGGAGGGCAGAGTCATGTGATCACTGGGTGTACGCTGGACAGGTTTTGTGTTGTTGGAGAAAGTGAATCAGAAGATGAGGGTACAAACAAGGGTATGTTCTTCCTAGAGATGGCACGATAGCACTTTTTTAAGTCCGATACCGATATCATAAATTTTGCCGATACCGATATGAATCCGATATCGTGTTTTTTAATCAATAAAACTGTTTTTTAATATCTTGCTGCATTTTGTATAAGTTCATACTCAAGTTTAAAACAACAACTACACTAAAGCTATTCTGTTATACCTGTATGCAAAAAATACAACAAAATATTTCATAGTTCAGCAACACTGATCAATCTAATAAACTTAAACCTGCTCCATCCTCCCTATTCTGGTATTTTAAAGAGTACTTAGCAGAAATATTAAGCAACCTAACTAATAGGGTTGCAAACTCCCAGCAAAAAAAATAGGGAACCACCCCTCACGCTCCACCTCATGATGCTTAATCGACGTAATCAACTTTAATTTGATGCAGTGTGAAAAAAGAATAAATTATTTTTCAAGAATAATTAAATCGATTCAACATCTTTCTTCAACAGAACTGCAGACTGCACAGATGGTATCTTCCCAAAGGAAAAAGTACTATAGCTTACTAGGGTATATTAGACTTAACAGTTACTACAGTAATGGACTTCTATACATTTTACACAAGATTAAAACTTTGGGTGTTAGATTCAGATAATTATTAAAAGCTAGACATTTTAAATGAGAATAAGAAAGAAAAGTATGTCTTTGTGCCCCCTTTTCCCTGTTCATGCCCTATCGGCCCCCCTGGCTAAACTTTGCTAGCTCCGCCCCTGCACAGTTACCAGCCGTCAGCTGTAGAAAAAGATCCTGG